GCACTGCTTGAGCCTACAGTCCAGTGAAATCATCAAGGGCCAGGTTTTAGTACCATAGCTATCAAAATGCCTACATCATTACCAGAAGAACTCATAATATAACTAAATGCCTGGGTTCATTTATAGTGTTGTTTCTTCCTCCAAGCACTGACCTGAATTCTTCATCTTTCATCTGCGTTGTCTTCTTGTTAGCCTCTCTGATGTGACCAAGGAGCTGTACAGCTTTGGTATCAGATGCCTTGATTTGGCTTCTCTCCATCTCCAACATCCTCTTCAGATTCTAATCAAGTATGCACAGAAGATGCATGTTTATTGCTTCAACAAAAGATGCATCTGGGGGCTTCATTTCATTAAGGGCTATCTACTGCGTGAGCCTCTCATTTCTGGGCACTTTATTTCTTGGGAACATTTTCCATCACCAAATTCAGAATAGCGGCATATTGCTCAATTTTCCCTTGTGCATTACCAACAGTTGTAGCGCGAGAGAAAGGTAATGACTTGACTTACAGAAATCTCTGCGACAGAGAGGGCCAGATCCTTCTCTAGAGCCGTCTTCTCTGCTTGTGCTGCTTTCAAAGATGTTGTCTTATCTCTGACTGCTCCTTGAAGCTCTGCTACCTAGAGGTACGACGTGTCAGAGTGAGATGTGCTTGAATTACGGAGGATGGCAATTAAGGCCTTACAGTTGTAAAATCAGCTGGAAAATGCAATTAAACAATACTTGGGGATGGGCAAAGGGTGAGAAGTTCATGGTTAAGGATGTACGGAGAAGCAGGGTTTGAGGATGGACAACACACAGTAAACCATACTACGGAAACGGCAGACTCTGCAAAACTGTTAAAAGGATGCGCATTGATGAACAGATTAACTGACCTGTTTGGTCAAGGCAGCCTGCGAACTCTCAGTATGGTGGTATTTACTGTGAATATCTTGCAGCTCTTGTGTCTTTGCTGCAAGACGCCGTTCCAAGTTGCTCTTTGTCATTGGTGATGCACATTCCTGGTTGGCACTGTTTCTACAGGGGCAGTGTCAAGAACAAAACGATTCGCGACACAAACTTCAGACGATGATAGCATCATGAATGTAGAGTGTATATACTTCCGCTCAGTATACTGATCAATGCATCGCAAAGATCACATGACGCATCAGGTGGTGTCTTTACGACTGAGAAATGCCAATTACTTGTATTGCAACAAACAGAAAAACATCATTTGCAAAATGAACTGACCACTGTACAGCACTTGCCAGTGGAAGGTAGTATAGAAAAATGGCGTTAGAACACTGCATGGTGGTGTTTTCGGGCAATGCACGTTCAATTTAGATTGAAATCAGACAAGCAATTGATATCATAGGCTACTGGAGGTGTTGCAATCTTCCACACACTGCATGGGGATTGAAATGCTTTCTAACCTGAGATTTTCCACAGCACTGACGTTAACCAGTTCCTTGGTGTAGGTGAAACCAATAAATGGCAAATCACGGCCTGAAAAGCCATGTTTGGTGGTGTCGAAATTAGAACGCGACTGCGGAGGTTCAATGTCAAATTCATCAAAGTTGGACGTGTCATCAACACTAGTTACAGTCGGCACAAAGGGTGGCACACCTACACAAGTACACACAAAAGAAATTAGTTTACCCTACTCCTTTCCCCATTTTATTCATTATTGTGAAGCATTCATCCTCACAAGCACGACGAAGGAAAAAAAAAAAAATCCAAATTCAGAGTCAGTCACAATTCCACCATGCCAGGAGATTCGTGCATGTGCGATATGATTCACCTCATTGTTGTAGTGAGGAAAAGTGAAACCTTTGTGCACATGACATTGTTTCTTTGGCTCTCCTCATTCTACATGTGTGCAAAGGTTGTTTAAACTCTCCTTCCTCCTGACTATTTCAATGGCCTCTATCTTGCAATTTTGCGAAATCTTGTTCACTGATACTTTGTCATTTCCCACGAGAGACATTGACACCTCAAGAGCACAGGGATACGTACTTTGTCTCAGTGTTGCCCACTCGATGCTACTGAAGAACGGATGACATCCCAGGCCTTCATAGCCAAGCCTGCTTAACTTGTCACTCAGGAGATTCTGCATCAAATTCTTGGCATGATGACTGACTTCTGGCTCGGAAGGAAACTTCAACTTGTTCTGCAATAATAACCAACACCTACACATTTAAAAGGTTTTGAACCAAATTTCTACAAACTAGGCAACTTTCACAGTTATCAACTTGACAGCCAAGCCCTTGATATATAATAGGCATATACAAGTGAGATTCTACAAATTCTTCAAAATTTCAATTTCAACATCATTTTGCAACAGTAATATGCCCCGGCCACTAATTGTTCGGAGTAAAACATCCTTATCCAGTCAACTCCTGTATAATTTTTGTCATTTCTTTGTCTGCATCACTTTGCATCCCTCCCCCCAAAATTTGCTCTAGATCCAACACTGGTGTGCAAGCATGGCATACATTGTGAAGACCTAAACACAAAAGAAGTCCCCATAATGTAGGGTGCAATGGCGTTGTGTGGACTCGCACACGTCCACACAATGTTTTGCCCTCTCTGTAAAACAGTTTCAGAGGCATTTTGGGGTCAAGGTTATCTGTGGCAAAATGAAGAAGAACAGTCCAGGAAATCATCATCAAATATCCAGCTCGAACAAGTTATCCCAGTGGTAGAAAAAGGAGCCTTTCCCTCAAGTTTCCTTTACCACAGGAGAACAAAGGAATGTCCACACTTTGTATGCAAACAGGTGTGTGCTGCCTGAGGTATCAACTATGGAGACATTACACTGCAGACACAAACAAAATGTGACACTGAGACTATAAATACCTACACATGTACATTTCTCTCATGTCATCTTGTTCTACATGGCCATTTAATTATAAACCTAGTCCAACTATTTTGGGTCATTAAGGCTTGCTTGGAACACTGGAATACCATGAATCCAGATGCCTAGGTCCCTTTACCTTGAAGTCCATGATATTGCTGTAAGTGATCACTATTGAATCCTCTGTGAATGGTGTTTTTCCATATAGCATTTCAAAGGCTACAATGCCCAAGGACCACCAGTCACATTCTAGGCCGTACGTCCCTTCCTTTCTACTGTTCATACTCATCAACACCTCTGGGGCAACATAGTCCGGAGTACCCACTGGCATCTTGGCACAGACCTGCACAAGTTGAGAAAAAAACAAAAACAATATGAGTAAAAATGATTAGGGCAATATGACAGTTGCAACAGATACAGAAAACAAATTAGGAGAGTTTCAATGCAATGGTAAGAATAATTTCATGGGATGACTGATTGCATATTCTTTTTAGTGAAGCAATGGATGGATGGAATATAACATGCAATTTAGCACAGGAAATTATTAATTATTAATTAAGCTGCCTTCAAACCTATGCAGAGGACAGGTCTATGCGATGTGTACCATGGTCTCAGCAGAGTTTGTGCAATCACTTGGAAACACTTGGCAATTCCTCAGTTGTGCAGAAGACATTACATCCATTTCTTCCATGACTTGGAAGTTTACTGTACCTTGTTTTCAGATGACAACTTGGCTGCAGATCCAAAATCTGCAAGTTTGATGTGACCAGTTCTATCCAGGAGAACATTATCTGGCTTTATATCTCTGTTGAATGAAAAACAAAATACATAAATGCCTTGTAAAATAAAAGAATTATTGAGGTGTAGCACAGGTTTATTTGGTTTTGATATTGGTTACTTACTTCCATTTAAGTAAGTTTTTGTCACCTTTCTGAATGCTCTGTTAACCACTTCCTGCCGGGGATTCCGGATCCGGACACATGCTTTATATGCGTGGCCAGGGTCTCCGAACTCGGAGAAAGGGAACAGGGCCTTGTAACAAAAGACCGTACTCGGAACAAAAGACCAGGCTGCTGGGAATTACTGACATTTTTTCGCTCTCAAAAGTTGAGATAATTCAGCGTTGTTTTGAAACAGTATACCTAATTTGGGTCATTAAGAGCGAGCGGATTACCACTGGGGACAAAAGCGCTCCACCACCGCAGTGATGAGCCGCACAGCACCGCTGCATGCTAATCTGGCCCCTACTGAAAAGAGGTCAGCAGTGCACTGAGCCAGGTTCGTGAACAAAAGAAAGTTGTATAACATCGCACAATCTGGGCTCTTTTTACAAGGCTGCAGGCCTGGCTGAAATACTCAGGCGTCAATAGATTTTGTCTGTCACGCTAGAGGGGCCACCAGACAGTCCTTCACGTGTTTGTAAGTGTCCAGTAAATGAAGATAGGAATTTTTAAAGATTTTTGAAAACAGAAAAAAATGATAAATATCCCGGCCCAGCATTACCGGCAGGAAGTGGTTAACATGCATAGTTGAGTATACAAGAGCCAATTGACAGTAAATGTGCAGTTCAAACAAATGCCTTACCTGTGCACATATCCCATTGTGTGCAAACTATGGATGGCAGCCACCATTTCAGCCAGATAAAACTGTGCCATATTCTCCTCAAACACATCATCAAAACGACTGAGTAGAGACAGCATGTCCCCTCCTGGATGGAACTCCATGACTAGGTACAGGTTAGTGCCATCTTGAAAGGCATACTGCAAGTGTGTCAACCATTCATTGCTGGCACGTGCCATGATATCACGCTCTTCTTCAAAGAAAGCAATCTGCAATACGATCCACAAGAATCCAAATGTCATTCATTAACAGTAAACCCTGCTATCATGTCTTGACTGTGGCATCCTTACAAGTGCATGTGTTGTATACTTCTGTCTTTTGAATTCTTTTTTCCTAAACCAAAAGGTATTTAGCAGGGTTCAAAACAGTACAGGTGCGGCATACAAATTCCAACAAAAATCACTCCGGGCTACCCAGATTAACTTCCTTGGTTGCCCAGTGGGCTAGTGAAAAATTCAGTGACCTGCCAGTTAAAATTAAGTTACAAGTACATGATGTAATGCTTGCAGTACTAAATCATTTACACCCAACCTTTTATTTTCCAAAATATCAACTTTACAAATGACTGAAATAAAATAGTCTCAACTAAGGGAAAAAATACAAAAAAATAAATGAAAGCTCAAAATATAAATGGGCTAGTAAAAATCTAAACTGGATGGTAAAATCTGCAGTGGGCTACCCAGAAAAAAAGTTAGCGAAAAGCCTGATTAGTTTTGCAGGGATGAGATTGAGGGATGAACAGAAAGCCACTAAAGATTCCAGCAAAGAGATTGAGAACATGGCAACAATACATGTAGTATACTGTCATTGCCATCGCTTCTAATGGCTGACAAGGCACACTTTCCCAAATGACTGTTTGAAACCTTGCACTTTGTGTGAACTGCACAGTGCCAAATCCAGAAGGAGTAACCCTCCTGTGCAAACATCTATTCTGAACCAAGTTGTCACCTCGGTCCAAATAAGTCAAGTGACCATTTTAACAGCTTTATGGGTCCCTTGCCTACAAAAAGCAGAACTGACTTGTTATGACTGTCAATATAACTTGGTACGTGTACATGTGTACCGTAGTTGTGCTTTGACTGTTGACAAGTTATGACAATCGAAAAGCTAGCATCATACGACAGTTGCCTACTTTTATATATTGATGAAATTTGATCAGTTGCATGTATAGCCAAGCCCGATTATGATCCGGCCCTTAGTGTCTTGTCTCTGTACAGGTGTATATACATGTACATGTATATTATTAGTAGCATAGCAGGGAGAAATGTATGTGATTTATTTTTGATTGTGACTTCTGCAACTGAAGGAAGGCTAAAGCTCTAATAAAAGGCCAGAAAAAGTAACTCCAAATACTTGCAGTGTACATGTACCAGTTTAGATACGAAGAAATCAAGTGAAAGCCAGATCAGAATGTTGTATGACTAACTAAATACTGGAATACTCACATTTTCCTTTGATAGTGTGTCATCTTTGCGGAGGGTCTTCATTGCATAAACATCCCCTGATATCCTCTCTCGAACTAGTTGAACTTCACCAAAGTGACCCCTACCAATCACCTTCTTGACTTCAAAGTCATTGATATCAATTCTCAAGTTTTTCACTTCATTAATAGTGGACTTATCTGTAATATTAGCCAAAAAGGAAACTCAACATTTATCCAATCAACCAAGAATGAAAATGACATGCTGGATGTATAAAATACTTTTTTTTTAATTTTAAAGACAGCTACTTCAGTTAAAATGCTACTTTTTATGTGCTTAAAAACGTGCATCTTTTCTTGGTTCTTGGCTCTTTTATTAAGTATAATGCACATTAGCACTCCAACCAATCCAGGAGTCAGTGTGCATTTATGTTACTGGGTCAGGTGAAGAGAGACAAGGCTATAATTGAATTACATGTTACATTCACAGATGAAATTGCTAATCACAACCTGAGAGCACGATATTTCAGAGGCTGACTTCAATATCTGAATATCTGGAGCCAATTCACTTACATAATCCGGCAAACAGAATTAAAAGCCATGACTACAACTACGGGGCAATCCCTTATGCATGCAGGTGGTACATGGGCAATGTTTCTCTCTGACCAATAAGGTGTTACGAAAATGCACACAAGTGTTCAAGCGAAACCTGTTCATGAATGTGATGCCCCAGAAGGATGCCGTCTCCTCAAATTTGTCTATTGATTTTGCCATTTTATTCAGTTTGGGTCAGCCTCCATTCTCAGTAATCAGTCTTCTCAATATCACTTTTACTCACACTTGTCCACAAATGAAGCAATGTGTTTGTCTTTCATCAACTGTTCATTGCGGCATTCTTCATACAATACAAGCAGTGCATCAAGCAGCCCCTCACGCGCAATGTGTGTTCTCCATCCTGTCGTGCTTGTCTTACCGACAAACAATTGATTCAAACAGCTGGTCCGGGCACTGATTCCTTTAGTGCTCATGGCACTAGGTCTATGAGCTGACCTGCTCATTGTGTTGCTGTGAATTAATCATATCATCAAAACAGAAATTCGCTAAGGTTCACATAAATCTTCTGACAGCACACAATGAGTTTACCAACATGATTCACTGTAATGAGATCAAACTGGGTTATCTACATGTAGGCATGCAGCAATTACTGGCAAATTATATTGTGATAAGTTTTTTAATGCTATTGTGTAATTCGACCACCAGAATTAGAAGCCATTACTGCGGTGGCACAAGGCTCGTGGACAGGTGGTATGCGTGCGTTACATGCCTCTTCAACCAATAGGGTGTTGTGATTTGCCAAATGCACGTGCGCGTCAAGCCCATATGACAATGCAGACATGACACTGGATGACATGCTTTGTACCACAGAGAACAGAGTGAAATACAAAGATTAGTGGTTTTTCCTTTATTTTCAAGGCATATTAGCAAGAATACCATGGTATTGAAATTCCATACCGTATTTGCCAGTATTTATAGATCACCAGTCAGTAGGCCTATTTTTTGGCATTGAAAAAATACTGCCACTAGTATTGGCTAATATTGAAATACCATCCAAGCCTAATGCAGTATGCACGTTGTGTCACCAGGTTCTTGCACACATTACATGTATGCCGAGTCGCAATGCATCGTGACGCACGCAAATATTCCCAAACACGACTTGTTCATGACTTGGCACAGTCAAGTTGTCTCTGTGTCCATGCTGTGTCAAAATTTGACATGTCTGAACAGGCAACTTGATAAATTGTTTTTATTTTGATAAAATATATATTTTATATATAAATATATATAATATATATATATATATATATATATATATATTATAATATATATTATAATATACAAATAATATTGTTTTTATTTTGATAAAATGTCCCAACATGCCCAATGGACAATTTGCCTCAACGGTTGAGTTTAATATCCCAACATGACCGAGTTGATAGCAGTCTAGTATCGCCAACCATGTCAAAATATTTAATAAGAATGAGGCGATTTGTTAACTTCGCATGCATTGTGCGTACACAAATTTTCGAAGTCCCACCAACAGCCATCGTCATCTGGTCATGATCGTAGATAGGGACATGAATAAGTGAGTATGAGTGAGGGCACTATTTGGAAACTTATTTTCTTAAATAGGAAATTCTGATTAAAATGTGTCTTTTTTTGCACGCTGTAGCTCCTCTATTTAATTTCCAATTTCAAAATTGTTAAAATTTGAACTGAAGCCAGCATTTGATTCATTGAAAAAAATTGAACCATGAACAAAATCTTGTAAAATATCAAGGTAAATGTTAGAATTTAACAATACACAGAACAGGCAACATTATCATGATTATTGTTCATAGCCAGGCCTAGGCCTACATAGTACATGTATGTAGCGTTCAGGTGACATCATCAGATAGTGTAGGCAGGTAGGGGTAGTCCGACTCTCCAACATGTCCAAGTAACTTTAGTTGAACTTGGACCCTACAAGTCGCCTTTTTTAAAGTTTGTCGGGCGACCATGTAGGCCTATTTCCACAGGCTTTTGCTCATTAAGCCGAAGGCCTAATGCGTTCACTCAAAACAATTCGTACCCCGAATTAAAATCTTCCGAATTCAGCTCCAAAATGGTCCTTCAAGTGACGAACATGACGAAGTTAAACTGTCTAAGGCTGACCATGTAGGGTTCAAGTTACTCAGACTAGACTAGGCCTTCTTTTGACCCGTAAACAGGGTCCGACGAATACTCCTCCGTCTACTCCTCTATACGACGGCCCTGTTTACGGGTCTACATGATGTACATGGTCGAGGCCTTCAGTGTCTGCTACAATTATAATTTCAGTTCACTACGTTCAGGCGTTAGGCTTATTTAATTTAACTTTTTAGGAAATGTTATAACTTTCTGACGGCTAATAAACTACTGCAAGGGAAAATAAGTGATGTTCATACATGGAACTCTTTAATCTTACCTAAAAGCAGTCAATACAAAAGCATTACAAGTATTGACAGGTGAGGTAGGCTGTTTCAAAAATCATCAAATGGTGATTGAGCAGCGCGCCGCGCGGCAGCTTTACGGTTTCGGATTGAAAACGTCCAATCAGAATTTGAAGACATAGTATGGTGCTTCAATGACCAAATACAACCAAATTATCATCGTGAGAGATACGTCTGGGTAGGTGCAATCATCCCTCATTTTTTTAAATTTCGGCTTTGTTGCAGTAACGGTGTTCCTCAAATCGAAATTCCTAGTAACCTGTAATTTTAAGTACTTCATTTTTTTCACATCTAAAAGGTATAATTACATAATTTGTTTACAACAAACTTTAAAATGAGCTGAAAACGTCAGTAGGAGATACTACTGGGTGGAGGCTGGAACGGAGACACTGCCGATTTCGGACAATCCATAATTTAGAGCTATGTGCACCGTTTGGCCCCTGTGCGACAAACCCATTTGGTGCCGGTGTTAAATTAATGGTAAACACACATGGTAAACAGGAAGTTACATACCCAACGTACCTAGTCTGTTCCTTGCTCTATGGTTCAACCATGGAGGAATAAAACACTTGCAGTTCCAGAACGGATGGGCAACTCGTCTGTATGTACACTGTGTGCTGTAGGTCATTCATCAGCACTAGGCTAGTAGTAGGCCTACCAAAACTTAGTAGTTAGTGTTGAGGATTGTTTAATTTGAGCAGTGACCCGTGAGCACTGCACTGGCAATAGCATGACTGGCCCTGCAGAACATGTAACAATTGGTAGGGAGGGCGAGTAGGGCCCGGGCCTAGGCCCTGGCCTAAATTCCAAAATTTGTTTTTACTTAGAATTCGGTCAGGCCTAGCCCCACTACAGTGTGGCACGGACACTCGCTGAGTGAGAGCGAGGGTGTGTGCCACACTACTCACTAACATGACTATCGGGGCTAAATCAGGCCTAGCTTATTATAGGATGGAATGAGAACTAGTTGTGAAAACAGTCAGAACACATATCTTAGCAATGTGTTTTTGCCATGACTTTACTCAAGTTCAACAACCATGACTTAGAAGATTGCGATGAATTGCTAGCCAGTGGAGTAGAGTAGGATACTGTAGAGTAAAGTGTTATTACGTAGATCCCCAGAGCATTATATTGCCTAAGAACGTTGATGAATGATGAACCAAAATATATGATGCCTGGGATCTGAGTCTGAATCCCTATCTCGCACAATGATGACAAGCACCCATGAAAATACCTGACGGCTGTTGTTTTCTACACATTCATTGCTTTCATGCATGCACACAAGGCTTCATTACGAGTGATACAAAGTCGGTGATAAAACAGCAGTTGGAATCACCGTCTCTAATGCTGTCCGGTTCCCAGACTAAACAGATCCCGACTGTGTTTGGCATCGGTCAACAATCGGGTCGGAGTTAATGGCTGTAGGCCTATGTAATAAATGAATGGTCCAAATCGAAACTAAAATTTCACGGACTTCTACAAATTGGAAATCGCCCATATTAATACGTTGGTTTGATCGAGTGAGTGATCCATACACACAAAAGGGGTTTCATAGCATGCGTTTATTTTTGGATTGACCATTGTGGGGCCAAAGATATGGAGGGAGTCCAGTAGACTGGCCCCCAGTCTGGGGCTAAGTCGGGCCTAGTCCAAGTAACGTGGACTCTACAAATCGCCTTTCTTAACATTTTGATATGGGCGATAATAGAGTTCAGGTACCCTCCATAGCCTTTCCATCCCATTAATTCATTTCACTCAAAATAGCTTAAACCTTGAATCAAATCCTCTGAATTCACCTCCAAAATGGTCCTTAACTGTCTAATGCATCCGGCTAAGGATTAAGTGAGAATCAGAGATTCCGACAATGAATTATGATGATAAAGTTTAGTCACATTGGGAAGAAAAGAGAAATTTCCCTTCAAGTCGGAAATGGTCTTGTTGTCGAGCTTGGTGTCACCATCTTGTTGAAATAGTGATTTGAACTGTGTTGTTAATGTCCTGGAGATGATGGTATGGCGCGCCGGCCTAGCCCTAGCAGACCACTCACAAAAGGCATGCCATGTCGGCACACGCGCCAATGACTGATTCCTGAGGCTCATCGCATGTCCAATAGTGGTGATCATATTGAAACTGTACACCATATCCATATGTTAAAGGCGATTTGTAGAGTCCAAGTTACTTGGACTAAGTCAGACCTATTAACATGATGGAATGCTAAAGAAACAAAAAAAAAGCTTTTTCGCCATGCACACGCATGTATTGACATTTACATACATACATATACTTTGCCATTCAGCGTGATGTATGCACACACAACTCTGCCCACCGCAGTGGTGCATCTAATATTTGTTTGGGGCTGCTTAGGTAGGGGCAGCTTAGGGTTGGAGCTGCTTATGGCAAGGGTACTTGGATGATTTTTTGGAGATGACAAATATTAACATGATTAAAAATTTAAAAACTTTACCCTTATGGGGTCGGGGGCCTGAGCCCCCAAGTGCCCTCCCTTTGATGTGCCAAGTTAAAGGCGACCCTACAAGGAAAAAAATGAACTTGAGTAGGTCCCCAGGTGTTTTGTTATTTCATATTTTACAGATACATGTATGTATGTGGATGGGTCATTCCATGAGGTTGGGGCAAAATATGAAAAATAAGCAGGAAACTTGACAACTTGGCCCTCAATGGACATCTTGAGGAAAGCACTGACACAAGCAGTTGGACACAATTACACAAAAATGCTCTCCATGAGGTCAAATTGCTTCACTGTGTGTACAAAAGACGTTTATCCAAACTGCAAATACTCAGGAGGAGGTGTCATCCAGTATTTTTTCCTCAATTCCCTTTATGGTATATGTGATGATGGATGAGCAAGTGGCTCTTTGTTTAATAGAGTGGAAAAAAGTCCTCTTGTACTTCGATGCCACTAGCTCAATGGTGAGAACAAGTGTGGGTTAAAACAAGCGAGTGTTTTACTATGCCTTCGTAATTGAAAACCCCCAAAGGGGAGAGCAGGAGTTCCAGTAGCAGAGATGCTTACCAGTGGTCGGCATACGACAGAAATCAAGCGCTTCTTGGGCTGGTCTGTGAGTGCTGTCACAGAGATGAGGACCCTTCCTTGAGCATTGCCGAGATGAGTTGAAATTAATTATTCTCTGGTGATGCTACAGTCAGTTCATTATGCTGAAATTTGAATGAAATACCCAACCCTCATGCCCCACCTCAAGATTACTTTGAGGTAGTTGATTTTATTCTCTCCAATCAGTGGGGCCTCATTGCAACCTGGGGCATGGGGTTTTGGGGGAGTCTTACAAGCCCTCAGTAAGTGGGTGAAGGTTTTTCACACCAACATAATTATTTGAGGGAAAAACAGTAACTAACAGTAAACTGTACTTGCACTTTTTATCAGGACTTTCTAATAAATCGAAATAATGTATATCAACACCATGCCCCTGGGTATGCTTACTTTCAAACTGTTCTTGAACTCATTTATAGCAACCCCTCTGCAACAAGGGTTTGGAGTTTCCCATGGTCAAAGTGCCCTCTACTCGGTGGTGAAGTTTTTCACTTACAAAGCGCAGTACAAAAGTGAATTCATTACTTTAAACTGTTCTGAAATCAAAATAAATGACCCAAACCATATGCCCTGAATCACGATTACAGTGAAGCTAATGTGATTATTCTCAGTCACCGAGGACCTGTTACTACTTGGGGTATTGGTCCTTTCACAGCTGAACAATCTGTTATTTTCAGTCGTTGGCATCATGGCAAATGTGCCATGAGGAAAGTATAGAGACAATTATCAACAACCAATATAGATGAATTCTTAAAATGTACCCATATGCATGTCTATGAATAATAAAAATAATTGACCCCGTGAGGATCCACGCAAGCTCACTCTTCCTTTGTTGGGTCCCCTTTAACATGGCACATTGGGAGGGGACCACCTGGGGGGCTCAGGCCCCTGACCCCCCAAAAGGTCAGGGGACTGTGTGCATGTGCTGCATGCATGCCAAGTTCATTGAAGGGGATTCTGTGGACAACTTTCAAAAGGGATACATGTATACCACAAACTGGACGGGGGTGCTCAGGAAAATGAAGTAAAGTTTTAGAACAAAATTGTTGGAAATCCATTATATGTTGACTTCTTTAGACTCTCAGAATGAAAAGGTATTTATGAATGGAAATAAATATGTGCGTTTAAGACTTTGCTCAGGAGAACGAGTGCTGATAATGCCTGAGCCGTTCAGGCGAGGACATTAGTTACGTCCATTCTCCTGAGCTGGTCTTAAATGCATGTTTAAAACCTGCCCAGCACATGTTTATTCCCTTACTTAATATGACGTGAGTCACAACTAACAGTATGTACTACAGTTCAGTTATTTTGAGGGACCCCTTATTTACACTCATCCAAAAGTTTGTCACCCTTTCACCCCCCCATCCAAAATGTCTGTCACATGTAGAGTATACACATATATAGAAGCATCTATCTAAATAGTGGCACTAGAAAATGTAGTGTCTGCGTGGTTCATATTTTATCAAGAGTCAGGACGTGTATTTTTGTATTCATTTCAAGGATTCTTTCAGGATCACTGCTGAAAGTCCAATTGCATGATGTATTCCCAGCTGTATTGGGAACAAATCTGTCTTTGATTTTATTTGGCATTTGTATCTGTCTAAGGAAATTGTTTCAATATCACTTTCGCTCACATTTTGACCAGATGTTGATGTGTCCAAGTCTATTTTAGGAATAAATTATTCTTTATAGTCTTTATTCAAATCCACCCTTTTATTCGCAGAAAATGTCTGGATTGCTATTCCACTTTGAAGACAGCTTATGCTTTTGTCCAACATTGGAGTGCAAGTCAGGCTAAAATCGGGTTAGTGATTTCAAATGACAGCTAATATCACTCTCTGAACGATACATGTAGATGCGGTGTACATTATACATGGATCTTACTGTCTGAGTGGCTCGGGTGAAACCGCTAAGGATGGAATGTGGAGGTCTATTCAAAGGGCACACTGGACCGTCCACCACTGATATCCATTTTATATAAGTTTTATATAGCTTGTATTGCCGTTGCTTTATCTGGAAACGTGTAGTCCAATCTCAAACCTACACATACACCTACATGTACCCTTTTTCCGTACACACACAGGTCATTCTGAATGGAAGACTTTGAGTTCCACATCACGAGCATGTACATGTGTATGTACATGTACTGGAATGCATTTCATGAATATTCCTCAATTTACAACAAAATAGGAGCCCCTATTAATGTTCATTCTGTCATCAATGATAACAAAGAAATTAAAGCAAAAAAAATGGATTTTTCATATTTGGTGTGATCATACAGACTTACTTTATTTCTCAAAACATTACATGGTAGGAAAATATCGCCTATCAAGACATACATTTGCATAAGTAGTGTGTTGGACCTTAACTATAGAGTACCAAAGTGAGGACATCACATGCACAATTATGTGTGTAAAAGGTATTAGTGGAGAACCGGCCAGCACATGAACCAGTACATGTACACCATTCAATTACACTACACTTGTTCAGTATGACTTCACACTTCAGTACTCTACACAGATAGTCATATATACAAAGTTATGCAGATGTCACTCAACATTTACGTCAGGCCTCGAAATAGTACTAGCCCAGTGTACAAATTCTAGCGAAAAATGCTCCGGGCTTTCTTAACTTGGTTCCTTGGTTGCCCGGTGGGCTTGTGAAAAATTCAGACTAAGCCTACCTGTAAAAACTGTGATAAAAATATACATGTATAATGCTTTTTGTAATAAATACAAGATCGCAAAAACTGAGTTGTTGTGGATGTGTTTTTACTTGTGTTTTTTTAAACGTGATGCTCGCGGGACAGGACGTTAATTTTTTTATACACGGGCTAGTAAAACTCTAAACAGGCTTGTAAAATATCCAGTTAACTAGCCCAGTGAGCTAGCCAGGAAAAAAAGTTAGCACAAGGCCTGTACGTAAGTGAATACATGTAGTGAGTTAGTATGGTTATTGGTAAAACAGAAAAATGGACCAACCATCCTGAAAATGGTTTCACAACATGCCAGTATGTCATGTTGAATTGTTTATCTGATGGTCTAAATACATGTAATTAAACTTTCTTGTAGTAGATCAAGTCACCTGTCTACAAAAGCTCTGTCAATATCAAGAACATGATAAACATGTAAACACCAGAACATTCAGTTGGAGACTGTTGAATGTCAAAAAAATTTTAAAAGTTGTCAATAGCAAAACAAGCAAGAAATTTTCCCTTGTCCAAGATGTTTTTAGAAAACTTGCAAAGCTTTAATGCATTTTCAGAGAATTGTAAAGTCTGCGAATGTCTTTATGGAAGAGTGTAACATGTTTATCTGTTTCATCCATCACAGATGTGTTTGCTTCATGCTAAAGCATCAACTTCTATGAGAAAACTACCAAGCTAGCATGGCACAAGATAGGGACACTGAAGCGGCTAGCATCAAAGCATCAATGGAAGATATGTATTGGTGGGAGGATGACTTCTACTCTGGAAGACTTGTTGACCTCCCTGATAACTCCAAGGATGTGGACACGCTCAATTTTAGTTTCTCACTACCACACCAATCAGATCATTCTGACGAATCTTTAGGATCTTCTGCCAGCGCGGATATTCCAGTCCAAGGATTTGTTTTATCCAGAGTGCCCTCCTTGGTGAATCTTTGTATGAATGAGGTCATGTCTAGCAGCGATGACACAAAACCCATCCATGTCCCCCCGGGGCTTGGCCCTCTGTTGAGGAGACAACAGGAAAGAAAGAGGCTGCAAAGAATCCAGCTGACATGGCTCTTGAACGAACTCATTAACAGAGACAAGACTATTGAGGATCACTTGCGACCATGTGTCAACCATTCCTCCAAACTTCCAGACACAGGTTTCTTTCGTGGTTGCCGTCCGGCATGGGAAACGGATCTTAATGCACGTCAGTATTTGTATTGTGGCTACACATTTGGTATGTACAGTGACGAGTCCTGCTGGTATTTACCAGTTGCAGTGGAAGGGAGAGAGACTAGTGACTGGTGTATTGCTGCTTTGGCCCATACCATTCAGATGATGCTACCTCTTAGACTTCCTCTTCGTAAGTCAGAACCACATACTGAAAGGACACAGTCAGAGAAAGAAGCAGTGGAAGTAGCTTTGGAAGCGACCATCAAGAGAGTCAGCTGCGCCCTTGCAAGAGTCTGCCCAAAGCTTGTCAAATATTGTTTTGAGCCTGCAGTCGCTTATGTATGGTGGAGCAGAGGTGATATGTCAAAAGCCAAAGAAATATTTCTAAGAATCGCTGAGCGAATGCCAAGTGATTTGGAAAGTGATCCTTCACAGATGAGTGAAGGTGAAGATGAAGTACAGTCAACAAGTGAGGGTAAATGGATCTTGCAGAAAGCTTTGTACTTGAATGAAGTAGCACGGGCACATTTGTATTTTGGCCAGCCAGAACCAGCAGTTACTTATTATCAACAAGCTGCAGACCAGTGTTCAACTCACATCCCTGCTTTAGCAGCAGACTGTTCAATGCAGAGTTTGATGCTCATGGCTACTGCATTCGATGAGGGACTTATGTGCAATGCACTGGCAGTAAGAGCAGCAGATTCGTGGAGCACAGCGGTTGTCCAGCCAGAGTATCACCCAAACATTGTCCAAATGGCAGCTGAATCCTTTTTGCACTGCCACTCAGGATATCCAGCTACTCATGGCGATTGCCCAGTCGGTCAAAATACAGCATGGCTGTTGGAAGCAAAACACCTCTTAAGGGGACTTGCCGCCAGGGCTCCACAGGTAAACCTTCATCTGTCATTGGTTGAAGCAATGCTGGGATACGTCATGGAAGCAGAGGAGTCTTACATGAATTACGTTCAACAATACGCATCACATAGTCAGGCACTTGCACAACGGATACCAGGTGCTGTATCAGTGTTTATTGGCCCAGACATAAAGCCTCATCCGTGGTGGGTGTTCTCAGAATGGCAAAGCCATACCAATAAATCAGGCAAACAGGGGTTCATGAATCCTAAACATCTGAGAACTCTGCCGTTAGTGTGGAGAAGGCGATTCAGATTCTGTGGTTGTGACATCAGAAGAATCCATGATGAATATATGTATCAAGACATCTGGAATGCACCTTACTGGCCTGTAACAGACAATCAGGTTAAAAACCTATGTCTGCACCTGAATAAAGATGGTTTTCTAACAGGTTGCTTAATACAAAACCTTCCACCCTTGAGACCACTGTTGCTTGACCCTTTCACTGGCAGCATTTGTGTGCCTGACCAATATCATGAAGAAGAGGCACTGCCGTGGAGTAATTGCAAATCTGACTTTGGATCGAATGATGTCACCAAGTTTGACTTGACCTTTGACACGTCCATTCCAACTTCGGTCAAGATATACAGCTCTGATGTGGGTAATGTTGTCTCCCTTCTCACATGGAATGATAAAATGGTAGCTGAAAGAGGGACTGTTCAAAGTAAACTTCTGGAACTGGAAGAGGTGGTTGTCACGCATGCAACACTTTTGTACTTCAGTTGTGAAGGCAGTAGCCACAAGCTGAATTTAGTTGAGGCAATCATGGCTGAGAAAAAGGAGACAATCTTGGAGCAGCTTAGAAATGAGGGTTACTGTAATGATCCAAAGGTTATGGAAGATGCCTTAGATTTCCTGGATTTCTGTGTTGTTAAATCTAAAAAGATGCAGTTTGACTTTCTAAAAGCTGCATTGGATGGAGATTCCAGGGAAAGGTTAACCCTTATTGATATAAAACGGAAATTGGGAAAGACACCTGGAAGGTGTGTTAGTTCCATACAGCTGACCCCAAAACAACAAAAGAAACTGCTAAGGTCTATTCAGGAAGATGGGCCTCGTGAACTGGAAACACATAGCATTGTCCTCATGAGAGTAACACTAGTAGGACGATCTACAGCTGTTCTTGCCTTCTACACAGCAGCATCAACCACACATGTATACGACACCGGTGAAATTGACACTTTAGTCTTTGTAGACTGCACAAGTCCAGAAACATTCAATAAACCTGTAATTCATTGCCCTGATCAACCAAATGCCACTTGGTGCCTGCCATCACAGGATAGTCACGTGGACAAATCGGCAAAAATACTTGTTGCAGTTGAAAAATCCTTCAAACCAAGGCTTGTTATCTTTGATACCAAGGGGATAGTTGTTCAAAGTCATAGTGTCTGGGACTGTCAGACATTTGTAGTTGTAGCAAGCAGTCTTGAAATTCTTGACAATGATCCGGAGCACACGGATATGGTGCTTCATACCAATAAAATCAAATCAAGGTTGAGGCTGATAAGTACAAATGGAACCATGCAGTTTCAAACAAAGCCACTTGGAACCATTGAGCAGTTCATTCTTGTTGAAAGCATGGTTTTTGTTTCATTGAGAGATCGCATATTGATTCTTGATTCAGCCACACTGGAACCCATTGAGACTAGGTACAGAGAAAACGGGCATAGTACAGACCAACCTTCTTGCCCTTCTGGAAAGAGTGGTGTTCTCTTGACTGGAGAGAGAAGCTTCCTAAAGGCACTGTCGGTAAACAGTCTGTCTGTTACCCCACAGTTTGGCAAGGGTGACAAATGCATTCAAGTGATTCTTGGAGTTGCAAATCATGTATTTGTTCTACAGAGAGCTAAGCACACCGACCGGGTCTCAGCAAAGTCCACGACAAAGTGCCCATCAGCCCCTGTAACAATTCTTGCTAAGATCATGGTTCCTGGTGTCCCAACAGAAGCTTGTCACCTCAACCAAATTGATGGATTTGTTGTCACCGTCTCTGTGTTTGAATCAACAGAACTTCCCCTCTACCGTGAGAACCTATACTGGTTTGGCATGGATGGCTGCATTAGAGGTATCCACCCCTTTATTGGACTGGGTCCACATTGTTTGTTTGCTGCCGAGTTCAAACAGGTCCTAACCAAGGTGGAAGAAGCACAGGAATTGAAACTTGGAAAGAATGGAAGATCATCAGTCAGTGGCAAGGATGATAGGCAGTGGCACATTTTCTTTGCTGATGGTCTGGGTGCACTTTGTTGCATCAAACTTCCAAATGACTTTTAATTGTGAAGCAGATGCAGCTCAAAGACTAACCTTCCAAGGCCAGAATGAACTTGATTCAAACAATCCACAAGGCTTCAAAATAAACAGGTGGCCAATTCTGAGTTTATTCAAAGCTTATGATTATTAAACTCTTCAGCAGTGTCACACAGTGCTTATGGAACTGGTGTTCTTGTCAGCCTCCTTATGAAATGCCCCAAGGATGTCAATACCCGGAACTGGCAATGCTGCCAGTGGCTGAATCGGCTGGTGAATCAGGGTAGTCTGTAGCTATTACTAGTGTGACACCTGTTGCAATCTTTCTGTTGGGTCCACCATTGAACAATATGCCTCTGGTGGGTATTGTCCCTTGAAGTGGACTCTAAGCTAGAAAATAGGGTTCTTTAGAGCTGTCAGCCTGGGCCCTTCTTTTCTACCTGACATGATCCAGATGTCTAAAACCATTCAGGATTGAGCATATCCTACAAACTCTGCCCTCATCACAACATGATGCCGGCATGTGAAATTTGTAATTGTTCCTTGTCTGAACTACAAGAAGTGAGATCACTTCATGCAACAATCATGCAAAACTACATAAACAATGAAGGTATAACTTCAAAGTTGTAGGCCTCTGTGGGTCCTTTGTTTTAAAATAAGCTTGTTCAATATGGTTTAAAATCTAAAGCGACTGTTTTCAAAGATCACTGCAAATGACCTCCATGTAGACAGTTATATTTAAGATGTCAGTTTGGACAGTTATATAAAGTCTGGAATAACCTTGCAACAAATTGGCTCCTCTGCAACAGTGAATCAGCCATGTTATCTTGCTTACAGGTGAAGTGCTTGTTGTAGTATTTCTGGAAAGTAGCCTCTGCTCCATCCTATCATCCAAAAAATTTCTGGGATGAGTACCTGTAGCCTCCTTGCAGCTGAAGTTGGGGCTGCTCCAGTTGAATGCGGCTTGAATTGTCCAGTGTGTCCACTCCTGCATGGCTCATGACAATATTAATCCACCCTGCAGTTGTATTTTTGCTCACTGCTGCATGTGGCTTCTTGAAGCTAATGAAAAGCTAGCTTGTTGATACTCCTTTCTGCCAAGAAAGCTGTGCTGTTTGGCAGAGGTACGTTTTGAGGTTTTGGACAATTTATATTAACTGGCCACTTTCTGGATCTGAAACTTCAATGACGTCTTTCTGAAGGAGTTTTGTAATTTTCATATCCACTGCCAATGCTTCATCAGACTTTAACCCTAAAAAGAGCCGGGGGGGCCTTGACATTTTTTCTAATTTTCACACAGTGCAAAGTGGGATGTAGATTCCATTTGATCAGTTCCTTCCTGGAGCAGTTCAACTCGAAGTTGGTTGTAGTCCTTCACAAGCTATCACAAGGGCAGTAATTCCTTTGATCAAGGGCTTTTGTACCCTTTCTAGATTCAGATCACAAGACTTTGAGTGTGTGTTTATATTCTCCAAAATTTGTGGGTTGACTTTGGGCACAGCAGCCTCACAGTGTAAGATTGTGTGTTCTTCACAAGCTTGAGTTGTTTTTCCTTGGATAGTTGCTTCGTTTATTGTTGATTCCAGATGCAGGTTATTGCTACATATACATGTATATTATATACATTTGATACATGGGTAGGGTCTAATACATGTAAGGTACAATGATTGATGTATAAATAGATGGGGCTATTATCCCTAAAAGATTGGGGGGTGGGCAAATCCGCCCCCCTAAACACTTTTTCCAAATTAAACCTTAGGAATTTTAGAGTAACTTTTTACTGTCATTTTGACACCAATTTTGCAAAAGTCAAACATACTGTTCTTGCACAGTGTATATTTTCCTGTGCAGGTAAGCCAAAAAAGTATACTTTTTCCATTGCAGTGCTCAATGCATGTGGACTGATATGAATGTAATGTAGCCTTGAACTTCAAATGACCGTTACAACAAAACCGCAAGTTTGACTTCAAACTTTGCTTTTGACACGACAAGAGGTGTCTTTACATGCATGCCAAGTTTCAAAACAATTGAATGTGGCACAGCTGAGTCCCAGGGGAGGGGCAGAATTCCCCCCCCCCCTATGTGAGATGGGTCAAAGTAACCTGGCTCATTTAGCGTTAAGATCTAAAGGAGGGCAGAGCTATAAGGGCATTCTTATAAGGGTACTGTTGCTGGGTAGAAGTACTTGTTCTTAGCACTTTCCCTAAGCCCAGATGAAGGTGTTATTTGTTCGTGTATGGACAGCATTTTGGCCGAAAACCAATAGTAGAGTGACAAGGTTTTATGTCATCCTTATTGTGGACTCCTGTTGCACATTTTGAGCACGTTTTGTCAGCTTACGGCCAGATGGCAATTGGTCTAACTAGTGATGGCAGTAGATCAGATTGCACTATGATGATTTACACTGTGGGCTGCTTGGTTGGATGATTGCTGCTAGTGTCAGATTTTGGCTTGCCACTTGCTTGAGTTGTTTCTTTGGTGATTGCCTGTTTTATTATTGATTCCGGATGCGGGGTATTGCTATATTATTTAACAATAGTTGACTGCTGTGATGTGGATATGACGTTTTGAAAATTAGGCCAACTGTCAAACTGTATAATTAACAGTGTTGTCTGCGAATGCACTGTTCCCTCACTTTCTGTACTTGCGTAATGTGAAAGAAGTGCGAGTACCAGTGAGTACAAGTTCATATGTCATGCAGTCTGGTTAATGGTCCCTGCATTACCTCATATGCTGCGGGGACGTGAATGAGCCTGTTGTATGAGCGCGAGCATGGATTGAATTCCCTGGTAACCATAGGTACCACGCAAAATTGATTAAATGAGCAACAACAGTTGCTCTCGAACTTCCCAAAGCTCTTCTGTCAGATGCATTTGCTCTTGGCAGAATGAGATGTCTCACTGTGAGTGTGATATGCAGATATGTCGCCCTGGCGTGTAATCATTCTGGGCCAATGAACAGACGGTATCCAAGACAGAGGTATGACAAATACATTTTGATACTTGGGATAGGGCATAACATGGTACAGTGATTGATGTGTTACCCTGTCAGTTGCCTAGCTATCTCACAACCAGCTTTTCAAGCCAGACAATGCGCTTTACAACTTCACTGCCTGTAGCTCCTTTTGGATTTGAAGACATGGTGTTCTCGGATTTTCCTCATCAGCCAATGTTGATTTCACGGTGACTTTCAACTTCTTGTCTAGTTTACTGGACAGCAATGCCATGTTGGCTTTGGGAACACTTGGTCATCTGCTTGATGGGTTTTGCTGCTGATTTTTCGGCCTCATTTGGTCTGAATATTGAATCATGTTTTCCATACTTCTGCTAGGCAGTCTCTAGGGGTAGATCCTGTGATTTGAACGCTGAAATTTTAGGATATTGTTGCTTTGTCACTAGGAATAGAAGAGCAAACTCTGCTGTTTAAAATGTGAAAACAAAATCAGAAACATTTTCTGTTTCGACTGCACGCAATGATGTACGGATGGGCATGCACAACTGGAATCTCACAGAATCTCTTGTGATATTTTGAAATGGAAATTTACAATTATATTCTGCATGGTACTAGTGAGATTGTGTCAGACATCAGGGCCACAATTGTTCCATTGACGTCTGCCTGGTGCTCCTGGACGATGATCGGGATCGGCTAATGCCACCAATTAATTGTGACTTTAATCAACTTTTAACCAGTAATGAAATCTATTAGAATTGAAATTGTCAGTGTGTTGACATGAAGTCCCGACATGCTTTTTGTTCTGGAATCAACAAAACTTTCCCAAAGGAAGTCAATTTAGTTTTTTAACATTTCTGAAAACAAGCAGTCTGATCCTTCTTCTGAAGGCAATGAATTTCAGTAAAAAAAATCAAAAACAGCAACCTGCAAAGATAATGACTTATATGATGTATAAAAGGAAAAATGAAATGTTGTAAATTGGCTGCAAGGTAGCAGGCCTAGTTTTCTGAATGATAAGGAAACAAACAAAATGGATAGAGGTGGACACACCTTGACTGATAAACTGAAATGCGTAGCATGAACCTGATAAGTGTGCTCAACTCAGTTGTGAGGCAATGTGTTCTAGGTGGCAGTTAACAGTACACATATCCCAATGTGTGAAATTCTGTACTGTTCAACCTTTCCAATTGCCAATTGCACTCGTTCATGTGTTAGAATTTTTATTGTATGTTTAACAAGGAAAATTGAAGAGCATTGAAACTTACGTAATTTAGGTTGATATTAAACTTTGCATTACTCAATGTTTTACAAAGGGTAACTTACATTTTGATATTGGTTTTTAATAAGCATACACGTCATAATGTTTTGCATTTTGTTGTTTGAATTACCTGTTTTGCTCACTATAGGTCAATTAAAGTATTAATTGACTTCCGCTCTATATGAAAATATTAATATTGCCATTGCCATGTTGCTATTTGCTTTAAAAAATATCCAATATTATTGCAGTGATATCAAGTGCATGTATCTAAAAGGCTGCATTTATTTAAAGACACTGCTCATAACATTGATAGCTTGGTCTGTTTCATCACTAAGCTCATACATTTTATGTTGTGCACGTATGTAATCGATTCCAAAAAGCAGATAAAAATAAGTAAAAGTTAAACTTTACTTATTGAATCAAAGTAAAATACTTCCTTCTAGCAGTTGTTGATCCAGATGGAATGTTTCTGGGTCAAACCCACCCCACTGCTCTTACAGCAAAAAAAATGAACAATTGAAGTAACAATTTGCAGCCATAATTCTAAAAAAATGACATCTTGTATTAAAAGGGTACCGTAATTGTACATGTACACCAGTAACAATGTAATGACTAGATACATGTATATTTGTCTGTCGGTCACCAACAATAATATTGGTCACACAAAAAAAAATTGAGCCTGACTCCCCTCCCCTGGACAAAAATTACTGGATTTGCCAAGTTCTCTGGTTTGGTTATCGCAAAGCCATGAAAAGGTAAAGAAACATTCAACAGTAAAACATTGCAAGGTATGGTTTTGATGGATTGAACAGTCATGTTGCTTGTGGAATGATTGGGGATTAGCCAGGGGTCTTGTTAAAGAAATCCTTTTTGGTTTTTGGTTTTTTTTCGTCAAAGACTTTGTTTGAGGAGGTTTTAATTTCCTCTTACAGGGAAATTTAAAACAAAATACTTTGTAATTCATTAGTACATTAGTTTAAAGAAGAAGCCATGATTGAAATTTTGCTCAGACTTTGAATCTGAAAAGTGTATCAAGGGATTTTTTATTTAGGTTGTGCCTTTTTTCTGTTTATGCTGTAATTTTGAAGGGTACACTTGAATGTTTTAACATTTGATTTTCAATGTCCATTAAGTGTGGTTTATACTGTACAGAATATAAGTCACATAAGTGTTACCAAAGTATGTGATATTGAAGTAACTTTTTTATCTAATCACTCATATTTGAAATACTTTTCAATAGAGTTTTATTCTCTGTTGTATCCAACGGCCCAACAATATCTCATTCTGCTTGTTGAATCAGAGGGTGATTTTCGTATCGTACAATTTAATAATTGTATTGGATTACTCCCTCATCCCCACCACCCAAAAAGATTATAGCAAATAACAGAAGATGTATAAAATTTGGCTACCATTGCTATTCTAACATATAAATAATAATTGAAAAATGGTTTTAAGTTCGTGTACCCTAAAAAAGCGATAACAATCAATGAATATAAAAACAACCATCAGGCCCACCAGAAACAATCTGTTAAGCCTATAGATAGAGATTTGTAAAGAAGGCGTGGATCGAATTCCAATCCCATATTTCTGGTAAAGGATAGGCCTGTAATGGAAATCAATGTTTAAATCAAATTTAGGTTGAAAACAACCATCAGGCCCACCAGAAACAATCTGTTAAGCCTATAGAGAGAGATTTGTAAAGAAGGCGTGGATCGAATTCCAATCCCATATTTCTGGTAAAGGATAGGCCTGTAATGGAAATCAATGTTTAAATCAAATTTAGGTTGAAAAATGGGACTGTTAACAATCCGTAGAACTTTCTACTTTATAAACAATGAAATATTTTCGAAGTGACAGAGCTATTATCAGGCTCCTCGATACTTGAGAGTATTACTTGCCATATCTGGCTTTGTGATAACATGTATGTAGAGTGAGAAGTGATGTATGCATTGGTCTTACGGAAGGGACTTATCCATTTGCAGAATTGTTCGTTGTGGACACATTCAAAATGAACAGTTAAACTGTGATTTTTAGATAAGGGAGTTACTGGTGTCCAGCTGGATGCAACAACAAAGTGTTTCCTCCAAACATGATTTCAGTTAGAAAATCTAGTTGCTCTTGACTTGACCTGGTGCATTGTTGAAGTTTACAATTATTGTATCACATATATAATGGCTTATCCCAGGTGTGAAATGAAGAGAATGAAATGAAAGGGCAACAAAGTGTACTTTTTAATAATGAGCAATTCTGCTTGCAAATGTTCAAAGAAATAAAATAGCCATCTCATTTTACATTGATGATAGTCGGCCAGTGTCCTTGTGGTGCCACAGTAAGAAGGTGGAACAAATAGCAGAATTTATCAGTGCTGTTAACCAGTTGATTTGTGCATTTTTCTTTCTGCCTTTGCCTGCTTGCTTGTTTGCTCAATCTTTCCCTTTTTCAAAACTAATTTCATTCTCTAATATACACAGTGTGTATGTGAACATTTGGACATTGCTTCACAAAAAGCTTTGGGACAAAGATCCAATTTGTTGAAAAGAACATCTTGCCCGAAGTTTTTAGGTCTTTATTCAATCTATCAAACGAGAAATGACGACTCCAAGGCTAGTCTTGACCAGGTCTGTCTACATATTTCCTGAGTGCATGCGTGAGCGGCCAGGCCGCTGCCGCATCCTTTGCCTGCTTGACTTCACTATACACCTTGGTGCTTCCACTTTTCAGATTTGAATTTCCTTTATTGGCCAATATTATTGTTTCCCAGGGATTTTCTTGGATAAGGTTTCCATTGCCAAAATGTTTGCTCTGAATGAAGCAAACCACAAAACCAGCTACTTGTGAGGTTTGTGAGACTAAATGCCAAAGAAACATGTCACACCGTTGGGCAAGGGACCAGCAAGTGGAAAAAGGTCAGATAGTTCAAGAATACATGTATTTCAACATTCTTGATGTCATGCTGTATTTCAACCAAAAGAGTTGAGTACTCCATGTGAAAACAACTGAATGGTTGCTTTTACTCAGCAGGGATGGTCCATTGTAGTATTTACAAAAGATAATTAGTAATGCACTCATGCACAAAGAATATGAATGTGGATGTCATAAGCTGAGGAACAAGCTCTCTGTAAACTTGCACCCTGGGCTGCTGTCAACAGTTAAGTTGTATGTGTATTTTGATTCTGTCTTTTATTTGAAGGTAACATTTCAAAATAAAAGAAAGAAAGAAAAATACTATACAGTTGGGAAAAAATAGATAAGCCCATTCTTTTTATAATTTGGCATGTATAGACAGACCAATTACTGGTCATGCCATGCTGAATAGGAAAGGAATACTAGATTCATACTGACATATATAAAATGTCTCCCTCACATGTTTCAAATCAACTGTTCTGGGGGAATAGCATCATTTTTAATATTGGAAGGAAGAAAATTGTCAACTTGCAGTACAAGTTGTCAATAATTGGCAGAAGCGACTTCTAGAGTACCCTGTAGGAAGCAGCTGACAAAGCAAGAAACATCTGATGATATTTTGACTGGTGAGGTACTGTAGCACCAACCACGGGTTGCAGAGGGTGATGTTGGCAAGATGCCAATGGGGAGGGGGGGACTGTATCTGCTGGTGCTTCCAGGGGCATGTTCAGTAACGCAGTACTGTTATTAACATACACATGTGTACTATCAATGGTAACAAATACGGAACTGGCATCATATGAATTACACCGTTGAACATGTCCAGATCAAAACTAGCAATATGACAAGTGTATCAAGTCATTTTATTCCCATCCTTGGGAGATTCTTGTGTCTACGCAGCTGGCTTCCATCTTGTTAATAAAAGCATTATAAATGTACTTTCTACAAAAAAAATTTAATGTCACAATTTACAAAGTTGCATAATTCTTACCTTCTGGAGGAGGGGTTCTTTCTCATGAGATAATTGCAGTCTTTTGAACTGATAAAATTATTTGTTTGTTTAATTAAAAAAATAGGGGGTTTATTTCTAGCAAGAGATCTGTACATGCTACGTTATGTGCGTAAGTTACAGTATGTTACTAGAACCAACTTTCTTTAAACAAATGCATCAGACCATCCCATTTCTGATTAAAGGTACAGATTACTTCGAGAATACATGGTAGGAAAGTCGTGATGTGTGCCCCATCAACAGAATGTTGAAGGCACTGATGGTCAGTAGGTAATCACTGTCGCCTGTCCCAACTGGGAGACTTACAGGCTAAGCAAGCAAGAAGTCATCAGAATATGTGAAATGTCAAATTGTACGCCCTAGACTTCATGAGTCTGCCACATTAAAATGAAAGTGAGTTTAACTGTTTCAGGGAACTTGTAAGTAAAATTAAAAGCAATGAAATAAATGTTCATTACAAATTAATACCAGTTGGCTGTGATGAATAAGTGAAAATTATGATCATATTTATGCCTCGTTACAAGAATTGAAGTCGGGTTTGAGAATACACTCTGACAACAATTTACCGTTCCTCCTCTTATTCATGTAGCTGACAATTTTGAAATACATTCTGGGTGCACGACCCAAAATGACGGAATCTATACAGGACTGATAAAGATGAACACCTAAATATAGAAACACTACTGTACATCGTTCATGAACATCTCACATAAAACAGCCATTTCGTAATTACAGGTTTGTAATGTCAAAACATTTGTCACAGTTTTCCAAGGTTTCTGCTCATCATTGTCTGCAGTTTCAGCGCCAGTGTAGATGGACATGGAAACTGTGGGCACCCAGTGAAAACATTTCCTCACCGGCATTAGGCAAAATATGTTTGCTGTAGCAGGAGATTGAGTTAGATTGAACCAAAGGGATTCAGCTTGGGATTCTCTCCATTGAACTAAATTCTTAAGATGAAAAACTGAGACAAAGCCTCGTGGGAAAAACACAAAATATGTTTATGAACCACATGCAGTCTTGATAAACCAAAGTTGTAGTTTAGATTTCATGAACCATTTACCCTGACCCTCATGCATTTTTGACGAAGAACCCTGAATCCTGAATCCTCCCAGATGTATGATGTGCTACTTACAGTTAACCATTGGTATATTCTATTTCTCTTGCTAAAACATTGTAGACATATTAGGGCCTTGACATTTAACAACAAAGTGTTTACCACTGTACAAGGCTTTAATCATGGGTAAGTCAGCGCCATGCATTCTAAACCTTGGGAAAAGAGAACACTAGTCCTCAGCAAATCTACAGTTCAACATTTTTTTAAATACAGGCCTACTGTCACCCTTATTTAAAAATGAAGAACTGTTGTTTATTATTACAATGTAAATCTGTTTAAAATGAAATCACAGTTGCACGTTGTTCGCTGCAGCATGTCGTTATGTTATGAACAATGGAAAATTTGTAACACTTGTTAGCAAATGCATAGTTCCAAGAATTCTCGTATATATTTTCTCTTACATCAAGCATCGATGGTCATTGGTGACACGTTAAATGTAAGATCTATTGAAGACAGAAGACACTCATCTCTTTTTCCACATATTCTCATCGTTGCCATGATGAGCCATGCACCTCTGTGCCAGCTGGAAATTGATAACTGGCGTTGTAGCAACAACAATGTCTATGTACAGTGTATGATGAATAAATGATGCACTTAAATATGTACATTTATATAACAGGCCAGTCTGTGTTCATGATTGGACCTAGAAGACAACATATCCATTAGCATGTCAGATGAATCTATGGCTAGGACTGCTGTAACAGATCTCTACCACCACCTGATACAGGTGGACTCTACCTTAGATATTCCAATTGAGAACCATCAGACATTTTGGATTTTTGGGTGAGTTTCTTTACAAGACACCCCTCCTTGTTTTCTAAAATCATAATGTAAAGGCCAGTTCATACTGTCTTGCGCCAACAAAAACAACATATTTGTCTACAAAATATTGCTAGTGAAATTTGCTTGAGTTGAAATGTGTTCCTAGCATAAATATTCGATCTCAATTTTTCTTTTGCCCCAAATATCAATCAACCTGTAGAGACTGAGGGTAGTCAGCCTTGAGCAGAAGTACCCCCTTGTGGTCGAAAAGAACCACATTGGTTGAGCGTGTTCATTTTGTTGGTTGTGATGCGACTGTAACGTATGCATTTCACACTGGGAGTTGTTCATAAACCAGCGAAATTGAGGTCTGACCAAAGGAGCCTCCGTTGTCAAGAAAAATTGCATCCCCTCTTGGTCTAGCTCAAGGCTCATTGACTCATACATGTGTCAAAGCTGAGTCCTTCAATGTCTGCGAAGGCCTGAGAGCTAGCGGTGATGTTTGTGATTGTCAGCATTCAGCCACACTTATAAGCAACTTTAACTACATGCTGAGCCTGCACACTGTTCATTACCCTTATCTGTTTCATTTGTTCTTACCAATTGCTAGAGAACATTGTTCTTGACAACTTTCGAGTGACTGACTCCATTCTGGTTCTGGATGTACACATTGTTCCCCTTGTGCTGACAGCTGAGTATGGTCAACACAGGACATTGTTCCTGAGTACTTGCTAGTGACTGCTGGCTGTTTTTCTAGTTCTGGATGGACACACTGTTCCCCCTGCATGGATGGCTTACAGTCAGTCTGACTAGAGCATTGTTCCTGATGAGAACTTGCAAGTGCTGGGATCCCTGCTGGTTCTGCATGTACATGTGCATACACTAGAACATGCTGCTGACTGTGCATGGATGCCTTGCTGCTACTTGGCCTGGAACATTGTTGTTGGCAGCTGTGCAGTGGTTGCTGACTCTGTGTGTGTTGTGCAAGGCCTTGGCTTGGTGGCTTGCTGCTGCTGCTTGGCCTGACAGCATGGTGCTGTTGATCATTTTGTGGTTGTGGAATCACGTGAAGCTCAATCTGTTCCCTTGGCTCTGATGGTTGGCTGGGATTCTGTCTTGGGTAGCAAGTACTGCACAGTTTGAGGAATGAGAAAGCCTGGACTACAGCTGTACGATAGTCAGAGTTAGTGGCACTGTAGACTAGGGGATCAATGGAGTTGTTAATAAGCTGCAAGAGTACTTTAAATACAGTCAAAATATTTGCTGCAGCAACAAGTTTTAGACATTCACTGTCCTGGCTCGGTTCAATGAAATTATTCTTTACTATCACAATGAAACTTATTGCAAGAGCAATTCCAGAAGAGTTCAGCGAGAAGAAAATAACAGTATTTATGATAACCATGCGTAGGACCTTGCTTGTTTGCTTAGGACGATTTGGCAGTTGAACTGCTCGGTTGTGGATTTTTGCTATTATGTAGGTGTACAAAGCAGCGGTTACAGTGAAGCAAACAGCAGCAATGATGGCACTCATCCAAAGGATAATGTCAATAAAAACATCCAGAGATGTTGGTAAGAATATAGGAGTCACACCGGTGATAATTATTGCCAGCCACAGTCCTGCCGAAATCTTCGCTGCTCGAGATTTAGAAGCTTTTTCTCTGGAAGCCAGTGGATGGTGCACTGCAGAGAATCTCTCAACTGCTAAGGTAACCACAAAGAAATTAGAAGCAACTTGAAATATGAATGGGATAAATACTATTGCATGGAACAAAAAGATGTTGGTGTCTGCAGTTTGGACCACTGCGTACAGCAAAGCATTGAGGAGCCAAAGCGAGTCAGCCACTGCCAGATTGGATAAGTAGATGTTGATGATTGTATGCATGGACTTCACTCGGATGACAGTGTAGAGGAATACTATGTTTATGCAGAGGCCGATTGGTGCGATGACATAAGTGCTCAAATATGTTACTTGGAAAGTTCTTTGGTCGAACAGATCGTTTTCAACATGCTTTGAAAAATCAGTCCTCCCAGTTGAATGGTTGTTTCCGTAGCCTTCATCCATAATTTGTCATTGATCTCCTTTCCAACATTTTGCAAATTCTGCCAAGACTAGTGAACCCTAATGAGAGATCACACCAGTTGAAAACTCTTTTTGTTGTACATGCAGGTTTTAATACGCATGGATATACATGTAGCTACTGTTTTATACCAACAAGGAATGTAAGACCTAAATAACTGTAAAAGTGAAAGTGAAAGTGATTATATCATTATATTGTGTTAGATCAATTGTTCTGACAACTTCTGTAACCAAGTTACTCTGTAAACTTTCACTGTTGACATTGGTGTTAGGTTTTCTTTGTACAGATGAGTGTTCATTCTTTTGTTTCACTCTATCTCAGCCTATTCTTTCATACTTCCATTTGTATTTCTAAATGTCACAATATTTCTGATGTTACATTGTATCTTCTGTCATGCTTTAGAAAATGCATTGTCCAAGCACATTCATACAATTACCCCCTCGTGAATGCCTCTTGAGTCAGTCAAAACAACTTATAAATTTCAAGATTATTGGTTTAAATTCATCTTTTGTCCAACACCCCTCTTGATATGTTATGGGTAAGTGCTTCTCTTTAGTAGTTGTAAACAACTTCCTGACGGACATTGGTGCAGAATGTGATGAGCCATTGGGACTCAAAATGCAGACTCATTGGTGGTCATTGGCAGTGACATCATAGTTCTGCTCATGAATATGCAAATATGCATTAACATAAACCAACAAGCCTAAAAATGTGGGTTAAAGTTGCACAACAAAACATTTTAAATGAGGTTAATTGAAACCCAAAAATGCAGTTTCAAGGGTTTTAGTAACATTTATAAAAATATTTCTATTTCCTGGTTCCTTTAAGATCAGCCAGCCAAATCTTGACTAACCATTTACATGTACAAGACCGGCCACTTGACAGGCTCTCGACCAATAGCATTGGCTAAACTGTCAGACTTTTGCTTTGTTCATGTGTACATGTACATCACAAAGTAAAAATGTATACAAAGTACAGTAGGATGGAATTGTACTCATGCGCTCCTCAAAATTACATATTTGAAAAGTGTATAAGTTTACACTCGATATGCTCAATTTTGTTGAAAGAATGTTAATGGTGTGCTGGTCCTAATATTAATCAGTGTCACAGTTGAAGCCTGCAGATGGTGTGGTGGCACAAGGTACTGGAGATCAGAATTCACATTGATCCTTAGTTAATTTGGAGTGATTTTTTTCTGATGATAGGCAAATCCCTCAAAACCTGCCCCCAGTGATATATTTTGACCACAGTTGGATCTGGGGTTGTGGAACTGAAATATCTGACATTGTCTGACGTACATCCATGAAGGATCATGTGGAGCATGCTGTATGGTATTGGACGAGTTGGTATGCCAGGGCCTATTAGATCAGTTTAATGACTACAGCGGTTATCTCTGTTTGGTAACTACATGATAGGGTATGTTGAGTTTTGTGAAGAAAATTCAGTATTTCCTACCTGTTCATTTTTGGTATGCTGTCAATATCACATGTAGCTTGTCACCTACATGTGCAGCATTGATCTCCATTTCCAATATTTTGTTCGGCATACAGTGTAAACTTTCATTTTATGCCTGAGCATACACCAGAGGTATCTCAAAGCAGGTTAAGCCCCCTCCCCGAAAAAACCTATGCACCCTGTTCTATGCTCGCTTCACTTCTACATAAATGCAACAAATGTTTCTTCTTCAGAGTCTTGTTCACTGAGAGATAATGAAAAACAAACATGTGGATCTTTTTGTCTTACAGCCGTTGAAGATGTGGAATGGTCCGCAGCTGAAGCCCAAGAGAGTCAAGGCAGTCAATAAGGTGACTTATTGACTTCATGAAATGCAAGTCAATTTCAATTTGGAAATTAAATTGACGATTTGTGAAGTTTCCCGTCCTTATTGAGGCATCTGTTGGTGTGGAGTGTGCATGTAGCATATAGCCATAGGGTGACGCTTGCACATATTCTTCACCCAGTTGACAATTCCACTGAAATAGTCCCATAGAACAGCTGGGTTTGCTCGTGTATAATTCACAAATGCACATATTCTCTTGTCCAAATCTGGGAAACAGGAAAAAACAGTGAGTGGGACGTTGATGCTCAGTAGAACACTGAGTGTTCAGCTTGGGATTATAAATATGTATGAGGTATGCCAATGTAGCATCGAGTTAGTAAGCTTTGTGGCAGGACCTGGATCAAGGGAAGTTCTCAGAAATAATTGAGTGACCTGGTTGCCCTTTAAAGAGGGAAAGTTTATAGCACTAAAAGTATTGAGGAAATGAAACCCATACTTAGATTACAACTGTCGGCTTTGGTATAAAGTATCAAGCTCAGGTGAACTGAAAATAAAAGTAGCCACTGCATCAACCAAGACTTGAAACCATGAAGTCGCTCATCTTATTTCCTTAAAATTGAAACTGCAAACGTTTATGTTTTAATATCTTGATATCAAAGTGATAAAAGAAAGCAGCTGTGACCTTTTCTTTCTAGTTTTATATACATGACTTTTTCAGCTGAAAAGCCAAAACTGTATGTAACAGTGCTTTTCTTCATCCATTTTTTTTAATGTCCAATTTCTTTCACTTTTTCCATTCAGTACCTTCAAATTTTCCTCTTGCAGACTTGCTGAGAGTGAAGTCTACTGTGCCACAGCCTTGTAGGATTGATGTCCTTTTACCTTTGATTCTTGCACAGCAAGCCATGTAAGGCCTGAAAACTGTGTTCCACTAGATCTCCCACTTTTAAAACCATGTTGTGTATCATTAAGTAAGGAATGCATGTTTGTGTTGGAGTGAGCCATAATTTCTTTGGCAAAGATGTGCTCAAGTTGTTTCTATACAATATTTGTAAGAGAAACCGGGCAGTAGTTTGGAAGGGCTTGGTCTCTTTTCTTAAACACGAGAGAAACATTTGCATTTTGCCAGTCTTGGTTTAATTTTCCAGTAGAGAGAAGCTTCTAGAACAATTGTAGAATTTGTACCTTTGCTTCAGAATCCGTTGCTAGGATACTGTCAGGACCTATTGTATGTTCACTTTCTAGGTTTATATGTTTTTCTACTCCTACAGCAGTGACCTGGATGTCTGGCATGTCAGGGACTGTGCTTTTTAATTAAGGTTGGCAAGTTTTAAATGTCTTCTGTTGTTAAAACCTGAACAGAATTATTTATTCATTAGTGTAAGCGATATGGTAATGTATTTTCTGATTCAAGAAGCTTTTTGGCAGGACCTGAATCAAGAGAATTAACAAGGACTGATAGATTGACCTGGTTGCCATTGAAAGAGTGAAAGTGTATAGTACTGAAAGTGCTGAGGAAATGAAATCCATACTGGAACAACACCTTTCAGCTATTGTATGTAGATAATTATTGAGAAGCTCATACAAAATGTACATTGTCACTGAATCAACACAAACTCAACCCATCTCACTGACATTGCAAATGTAACAGTTCTTGCATTTCAACATCTGATCATGTACATAACTTCAGCCAAGACTTTCTCACTTTTATACAATTCTTTCTATGTTAAATCTTCACTTTGGACTTTCTGTGCATTTTTCCCAACAGATGTGCCTGGAGTGTGAATGCAAACACGTCTAAATCTTGTTAGTTTGTTTGAGAAAGAAAAATCAGTACTTATCATTACCAAACTATTTCTCAACCTAAAGGCAAGCTGTTCCATGGCATGGAGTGTGATATACAATATTACAGGTCAGAAAGCTATGGGTATGTTGAATGTGACCCTCCTTGATCCATCAGATTCCATTAGAAGGTTTTGAAGGATATACAAAAGTAAACTGTCTAACCATCATTACTTTTGTAATCCTTGGTTCAGGTCCAAATAGCAGGAAACAATTTTTTAATCAACTCCTTTTTGAATAAGGTGATCTCCACTCGAGATTCAAGTGCCCGGCCATTCATTATGTTTTATTGCATAAAATCACGTTCAATTGGGTAAGTGCATAAAATCAAAAGGAGTACCACTGCAAGCTTTACTACAGAGAAATTTCAACAATAAATACCAAAAATAAAATCCTAAAGGTGCCAATGACTTTAAAAATGTAAAAGAACAAGTTTCATGAAACCAGGACGACTGTTGACATCAATGGGAGGTCTTAGTACGCAGCGCATGAGTCTATAAGGTTCTTGCAGCAGTCTGGGGGGTAGGGAGCTCGTCAGTTTCCACTGATGGTGAGATCACAAGAAGCCACAGTCTTCCTCGAAGACTCCAGTCTTGACATTCCCAGTCCTCTGTTTCGGTCCTGGCCTCCCTCAACAGTCCCAGGTTCCCTTGATGGTCCCCATCTCTCTTGATGGTCCTGTCTCTCTTGTTGGTTCCACTCGCTCTCAACACTCCAGGTTCGGTGCTTAGGTGGGAATGCTCAGTTCTTGTCCACCACCTTAAATTCTTTGGTGGCAGGCCTCTGGGGTGGCAGCTCAGAATGACTAAATTTGCTCAAACAGAGAGCCAACACTTGTGCAAAGAATATTTTGTAGAAGCTTGGAATCCTCCTGCACAGCAATATTGGACTTTGACAGCAAACAGAACTTGGATGTTATTGGCACTTTGATAGAAAGAGTTAATTGAAAGATTGGTTCCTGCTAATTGGAGCTGAACTGCTCCTCTGTTCTAGCAGCTGCTAATTCTATATATGCTGGTATTGTTAAACGTTATATTGATGTAGCATGCACTTAACATTTGAGGAATTCTGTAACATTTAAGGAATTCTGTAACATACCTGTACAGTGCTCTTTCAAAACAGCCAAACATTTTCATCCATGAGCTATTAGGAGCAATGGTTTCCCCACTGGCTTCGGAAAAGTAACAAAGTCATGCTTTGTATCCCGGCCTGATTCCTTTTTTCAGGTGATCCAGAGTGTCATTTTCTGCATACCTTGTAATATCAAAACTTTGCTAATGAGCAGTTAGCTTGTGATGGGCATGGAATGATGACCTAATTGCTTACTGGTAGAATTTATGTTAAAATGGGAGACCTTTTGAAGTATTCCAAATCATCATGCAGAAAAACAGGGAACATTTCTGACAGTACTTTGAACCATAGTTACTCAGAGTGATATTGGTAAGGAGCCAGTGGTGAGTGGTCATTACTTGCTAGTGCTAACCAGATAAAGCTAGCATGATAAATCTGAAAGGAAGCTTGTTTCAATACTTGAAGATAGATACAGTCTATCTGCTTTCTTGTGTCTCATTGACAAGGTTAATCGTGTGTCTTGGCGTACATTTTGGTTCCATCGTGCTAATAACAGAATTTGTACCCTCTAAAAGAGCAAAATTATGCATATGCATAAGTGACTTTTTGAGAGGGAATGAGGCTTCCTTCTTGTGGGTGAATTGCAGGAATTATGGTTTGGTTTTAGAAAAACTGTTTATTTTTGGAAAGTGATCTGTGCATGTTTATACAACCTTTTCTCTCCCAGCATTTAGAGTGGCACGTACAAACAAGTCGATTCTTCAAGTGTATTTACATTTTATTTACTCTAGACTTTGGGAAGAAAATTGCAATATTCCCTGGCATAGATATAGCACCATACAAACATATATATTTAAAATATAACTAGGGCCTGTTTTTTCTTGTACATGTACACATGTTTCGAATTCTCACATTACTGATTTACAATTACCTTAAAAGTACAGGATATTCTGTACCCCATGGCTTAATTGACAGAGTATAAGGTAATGGTCAGTTGGTTAAAATAATCACA